ATCTGAACACCCCTTCTCTTCAGGTTAATCCTAGTCAAACATTTATCCAGAGCCATTTTCCAAACCAGGAAGTTGACTTTGGAGAGGCAAGTTGGATTCAAATCTACCTAGCAGGGAAGTTCTCCTGACCTGAACTGCACACCTTAAGAAAAAGGGATTTAACTGAGAAGCTACCATCTGCATTCCACTTCCAAGACCATTCATCTTCCAAACTCAAATCAATCCTCTGATTTTGAATCAGCCCCAACAGAACCATATACTCTTCCACTTCCCAATCCAACAAATTCCTCCTACAGAGAGGGGTCCAAGTGGTGGAATCCCCAGAGATGCAAATGTTATCAGCAATTGAAGAATCTTGATTCACTGCAATTTGGAATAGACGAGGAAAGGCTTTAGCCAAGGGACCCTCCATACACCAGGGGTCCTTCCAAAACTTGATTCTATCCCCTTTACCAACCTTAATACTGATCCCATTCATAAAAAGAGTGTTGTACTTAGAGATGCTTGCCCAAAGAGAATTACCCCTAAATGGATGAGGATCTAGAGTTCTCCAATCACCCCATACCACTCCATACTTTGCCGCAATGAGACTCCTCCACCATGCATTCCTCTTAGAAGCAAATCTCCATAACCATTTACTGAGAAGAGCAGAATTAAATTCTTTCAATTTCTTGATTCCCAGTCCACCCACATCCTTAGGAAGACACACTTGCTCCCATTTTACAATGTGAATTTTCTTCTCATCTTCCAAACCCCTCCATAAGAAGTTTCTTTGGAGCTGTTCCAACCTCTTTGCTATTTTGTTTGGGATTGGAAAGAGAAAGGAAATAAGTGGGGAGGTTGGGAACACCCCCCTTAAGGATAGATTCCCTGTAATGTATTCTCTTTCCCTAAATAAATTCAAAACCATCTCCTCACTTCGTGTGTCTGAGGGGACTTGGGATTTGGGTTTGAGAAGATGGTTGAGGGATTCAGAATTGGCTTCTGCAGATGAGTTGTTCACTGTGTTGAGTTCAATTTTCCTAGATCTTTCATGTCCATATAGTAGATTTTGGAAAGAGTCTTCTTTAGGGACTTTCTCTTGTTCATCTTTTTTCGATGCCTTAACTCAGTCTTCTATTGTGTCTGTCTCCTTTCCTGCTAAAGAAGTTTGGCATTCTCCTATGCCGCCAAAGGTTAGGGCTTTTTGCTGGGAGGTGGCTCTTCAAAAGATCAATACTATGGATTCAAAGAAAAAGGCTAGATTGGTGCCTTTCCCCACGTCTGTTACCTTCGCTTAAGAAATGGTGAGACGGCGACTCATCTTTTGGTTTCTTGTTCTTTTGCTTCTTATTTGTGGGATTGGTTCTCTTCTTTATTTGGTTGCAAATGGAATCCCCCCTTGGGTGTGTTGAACCTTTTTGACTCTAGCTTCTTCTGACAACCAAGGAAAAGAGGCAGGGTAATGTGGAGAATAACAAGAGCAACCATCCTATGGTCAATTTGGGAAGAGAGAAACAATAGGATCTTCCTAGGGCAAGAAAAATCCAAGGAATCACTTGTTGAGGTTGTCACCATCAAGGTTATGCATTGGCTGAAAGTACATCATCTCTTCAAGGACTTCTCCTCAGCTGACTTAATTAGAAATTGGAGTGCTATAGCTGTATCCTCTCCTTCGTCCCCTGTGGTACAAGAAAGTTGGGTACCACCGCCTTAGTTCAGGGTGAAGCTAAACTTTGATGGAAGCTCCTTGGGTAGTCCAGCTCATGTCGGGAGTTGGGGGTGTGTTCAGAAATGAGGATGGAAAAGTCTTGGCCCTTTACTTGGGCCCAATTGGGGGGCAGAAGTAATGGCCTTACTTCAAGGTTTGAGACTAGCAAAACAATGGGGAATGCAACAATTAGAAGTGGAAGGAGACTCCAAGTTGGTAATAGGGTGGATTGAATCTGGAAACTTGGGAGTTTGGTCTCTTAGATAGTCTCTAAGAGAGATTATTAGCTTAGCAAGGGAGATTGGGGTGCCTTTTAAATGGGTAAGAAGGTCAGCAAATGGAATGACTGGCACTTTCGCTAAGCAAGGAACTACTAGGGAGGCTTTGTTTTTGGCTAAGCAAGGAAGGTAAGATGGGGTTTGGGACTAAGGAGGGTGGTTGAAAAAAATCAAGCTCTATTAGGGAAATGGTTGTGGCGATGGCCATTGGAAAGCGAGAGGTTGTGGCATGAGGTGGTGGGAAGCATTCATGGGATTCCAGAGAATGGATGGGATGCTGGTGTATCAAGGTAGGCTAACTTGGCAGCACCTTGGAAGGCCATTCACAACATCCTTCCTCAATTTCTCAGGTTTATCAAGTATGAAGTTTGTTCTGGCAATGCTATCTGCTTTTCACCTTTTGGGAGGACATCTGGGTAGGGGACACCCCTCTAAAGGACCTTTTCCCTTTGTTATTTTCTGTTTCTTTATATAAAAAAGATGTGGTCGCAAAATTTGTTTCATCCTCGGGAATGCCTATTGCTCCTAATTGGGATTTCGGGTTTCGTAGGGGATTAAGGGATGGTGAAATTGAATCTCTCTCTGACTTGCTTTGTTGCCTTAATCAGGTCTGCTTGGATCCCTTCAAGCCAGACAAAAGGGTGTAAGCTCCTAGACTCAAAGGGATCTTTACTTGTGCTTCTTACTAGTGTTTTAAAAGGTGTGGGAGGTGTATGCCTGGAGGCATGCCTCTAGGCGAGGCGCTCCAAAACGCCTTGAGGCGTATGCCAGAGGTGACGACACCTTTGAGGCATATGCCTCATGCGCTTTTTTCATGAGGCGTGCTAGAGGCGTAGGCTCCTAGACCCAAAGGGATCTTTACTTGTGCTTCTTACCAGTGTTTTAAAAGGCGTGGGAGGTGTATGCCTGGAGGCACGCCTCCAGGCGAGGCGCTCCCAAAACGCCCTGAGGCGTATGCCAGAGGTGACGTCACCTTTGAGGCATATGCCTCATGCGCTTTTTTCATGAGGCGTGCTAGAGGCGTACGCCTCATGCACCTCATGCACATCTTATAAAAAGATAGAAAAAAAGAAAAAAGAAAAAAAAGGAAAGGAAAGGAAAAGAAAGGAAAAGAAAAGAAAAGAAAAGAAAGGAAGGGAAAGAAAAAGAATGAGAAGAAAAAAAGAGAAAAAGAAAGCAAAGAAAAGGAAAGGGAAGAGAAGAAAAGATAAGGGGAAAGAAAGTGGTTTGCCCCTTGCCCCTTTGGCTGGGGGCTTCACCCCCTAGACCCCTCTGGCCCCTTTTCGATGCAGCCCAATTTGTTTTCGCTCACCTTCGCTTTGACAAGACCCCCTTTCAACTAATGTTATGCATCTTTGTTCTTCTTAATATAAAAGATTCTTATTAAAAATAAAGAAAAAATGAGATCCCCCCATCCTCTTCATCCTCCTCCCCTTCCTCCTCCTCATAACCCCCACCTCTTAAGGAGGTTTATGCCTCCTTGTGTTCGGGAGGCTTACACCTCTTGTGTTTTGAACTACGCCTCACGCCTCTAGGTAGTGGAACACCTCGCGTCACGCCTCCGTGTTTTAAAACATTGCTTCTTACTTCAAGTCCATCTCTCAATCTTATGCCCAATAACCCTTTCTGTCAAAGGAAATTTGGTGTAGGCCAGTTCTCCCCAAGATTATGGCTTTTTGTTAGGAAGTATACTATGGGAAAGTAAACACTCTAGATAACTTACAAAAGAGAAGACCTTTCCCATGTATTTATCCCAACTGGTGTATCTTCTGTAGAGCTCATGGGGAGGATTGATACCATCTACTAATATCTTGTCCATTTTCTTCAGACCTATGGGCTTGGTTACTCTTGTTGTTTGGGAGTAGTTGGAGCTTACTAGCAGAAGTTCGCATGATCTTTGATCATTCTACTTTCTCTTGGCCTACAAAAAGAGGGAGAATTATGTGGAGATGTGCTCATGCTGCCTTGTTTTGGACATTATGGGAAGAAAGGAATGCTTGAATTTTTCAAGAAAAGGAAAGGAGCAGCCAGGAACTGGAAGACCGTGTGCTGCATAGGGCAATACTGTGGCTGAAGACTGGAAAATTTTCATCAATTCTCATTTAATGACTTTTGGAGAAACTGGTCAGCAGTAGCGAGGTGTTCATCCTTTAAGAACAAGATAATTACAAGCTGGGCTCCTCCGTCTGAAGGCTCATTGAACCTGGACTTTGATGGAAGTAGCATGGGTAACCCAGGATTATCCGGAATGGGGGGTGTTCTGAGGAATGAGAGTGGAGAGATTGTTTTGCTTTACTCAGGCCCTTTTGGATTTGGAGACTCTATAAGGGCAGAGCTATTCGCTGCTGTACAAGGGGTGCAATTTGCAAACCAGTTGGGGATAGAGCATTTGATAATTGAAGGGGATTCCAAGGTGGTGGTGGGCTGGTTGAAAAATCCTGAGGATGTCATATGGTGCTACAAGAATGAAATGAAGAAATTTAGTTGGTTGACAAGGAATATGTTGGTTTCTGTACAGTGGTGGGGAGATCAGCAAATACTTTTGGCTGATGTGTTAGCCAAGCAAGGAGTAAATAGGGAAGAACTGTTTTGGGCTCAGCCGTGATTTCTGTAATTTATTCCTAGTTTACTTGTAAGCTTCCAGGAGGGGCTGCAGCTTGCGCCTCTCAGTGGGATTTTGCATGAAATCACGATTCTAATTCTGAATTAATAAAATTATAATATTGCTCATAAAAAAAACTAAAACTATGAGCAAAAAAAAGCCATGTAGTGTTCAATTAACTAAGCAAACTAAATTTACTGGACAATATATTTGAGCCCAAATATCTCATGTAAATCATATAATAGAACCAAAATATTTGCAGAGCACAGGGGGGGGGGGGAGTTCTTCTTCTTCTCCCTGTAATATGGTTCATTGAAATTGATGGTTTGGAATTTTAAGTACCACTTGTGCAAACATTTCTCTATGAATTAATTAAGAATACTGCATTTGAACATGGACTCATGAAACTTCATTGTTGCCCTGCTAGTAGAGTCCACATCTCAGAGGAAAATGGGTGATGAAAGAAATCTAAAGACATGGGTCTCAGACAAATTGATGTCACTCTTTGGATATTCACAGCCTACGGTTGTCCAGTATGTGATCGGATTAGGTAAGTCAATGAATTTCCCTACTTTACAATTTGTTTGTAGAACCATTTATGTAGCATTAGTGTGGATATTACATAAGCTGCCTGTGGTAAAACTGTTGTTGATTTTGAAGCTAAGCAAGCGGCTTCACCTGCTGAGGTTGCGGCTAAGCTTGTAGAATTTGGGTTATCATCATCAACTGCAATGCGGACATTTGCTGAAGAGATCCATGCCAAAGTTCCTCATAAAACATCTGGTTTGAATGTAAGTCCATGTGTTTCATGACATTTAAGGGATATTCTTATGCCAAATCCAAATTCATCTTTTGTTCTAGACAGATGATGCTTCCAAAAAATGTTTATTTGTTCCTTTTTTCCCCGGGCTTTATTTAGTCTATTGGATAGATGGCCTTTTCTTCCTCTAGGGCATGTGACGTCAGAGAGAGGATGATGCTGGATCTGGTGGTCCATGGGGAGTGGACTATGGTAAGGAGGTATTTGTATTATAGGCTAGGTTGTTCTGTGGAGGTTCAGTTCTTTCAACTTGGGTGATTTCAGGTCTTTGTCTACTTTAGATGTCTACTGATATTTTTGAGTTCCTCCCAAGACGGAGCCTTGTAAAGTTAGTTTGGATAGAATTATATATATTCCTGAACCACACAAGTTATCTTTTTGATCTGTTTTGTTCCCAATAGAATCACTGTATGTAATGTGTCTCTAGAAATAAAGTTGTTTACATTCTTTTTCATTCTGTAAATGATATCTTAATTATCTTGTATGAATATTTTTTTGCCCCTTCCCATGTGGTCAGTTGTATCAAAAACAGGAAAAAGAAGCAGCTATGTTGGTGAGGAAGCAAAAGAGCTATGCAATTTTGGATGATGACAATGACGATGGCGATAATGGTGACCATCAAGTCTCTTCAACTGTCATTTCTTCTCAATCTAAAAGAGTAGATTCCCGTCAAAAGCATTTTAGGAAGAAAACTGAAGATCCAGATGATGATGATGATGAGGCATGCTTTTATATCCTTACAGATTTGACCTGTTGTTTTGCATGGTAACTCCTGTGTCAACTCCTATTGTAATGACTCAGATTTATTTTGACTGGATGTTGTATTGAAGGTGACTGCAAAAGAAGAACAAGAAAGACATGTGCGAAGACGGATCTCTCATGATGAGGATGACTTAGAGGTATCTTCTTTATTTTATTTCTTTTGTCAGTAATGGAAACTGTTCTTTAAATCAATGAAGCAAGAAAAGAGTACAAGAGGAAAGAATGAAGCAAATCCAACATAACAAAAATTGGTAAACCCTAGCCTTCCAATGAGGCAACTGGCAACTAAATAATAACTAAACCAAACTCCAATTTAAATAGTGAAATCAAAACAACTGTCTCTTAGCAAATTAACCCCTTAATGCAGCTTCTTTCTGATTGTTTTTCCTTTTTGCATGTAATTTTTTACTTGATCTTGATTTTTTGTTTAGCCTAGACATTGAAATTTCAAGTTTCTAAATATTATCTACCAACTGCTGTACCTATTGGACAGATTAGTAAGAAAAAACAGAGAGGAACCATTATGTTCATATTGAAACTACTTTTTTTGGTAATCTTTTTAAACATATGCCGTTTTTTTGAATCAGTAACCAGGGTTCTCAATGCAATGGGTCAGGTATGCCCGACAGGACCAAACTGACCCAATTACATAGGGTTTTAATCTGCATTACGTCTCCTGATGATATATATTAGCCAAATACAAAGATACCCATAGTCTAATACCTGTCTTTCTCATGGTATGGTTGTAATATTATCATGTCCAAATGTGTGAACATAACAAATTTGCAGGCTTATTGTCAAACTACAGGTTAATATAGAGCTCTCAATTATAATTGAATCTACTCAAGTCATACTCAATACTCTCACTTAATAACTGGTTGGTTCTGTGTCTGTTACTATTAGGTCCTATGGGGTTTGGTTCTGTACATTTATTTATTAGTTCAGGACTGGATCTGCTCTAACTTGGTCCAGATCCAACCCATTGACAGCACTATCAGTAGTAATCAACTTTTATTAGGGTAAATTACATGTAGGTATGCTGTACTTTGGGGGTAGTGACAGATATGTACCCTGAACTTCAAATGTGACACTCAAGTACCCCGGACTTCTAGAAATAGACATCTCAGTCCAGTGCCGTTAACCCACGTTATATTTATTTATCTCAAGCAAAATGCCCATATTTATATTTATTTATTTATCTCAAGCAACAACAATATCTATAACTACTACAACAATAAAAGCTACTTCTTTTACTCTTCTATTATTATTAATCACTAGGTTTATCACAAACACTTAGAGAGAATAATATATAATTCTTTGATCTGTTATTATTTATTAATGGCTCTATTTTATTATTATTAATTACAAGGTTTATCACAAACACATAGAAAGAAGGGTAGTTTTGGATTTTGGAATGTTTAAAGTTGCATGTGGCGTTCACATGCTGTGGATAACTGATGGAATACTAATGGTTGGACTGGAATGTCTATTTCTGGGAGTTTGGGGTAACTCAAGTGTCACATTTGAAAGTTCAGAGTACCTATCTGTCACTACCCCTAAAGTACCTATCTGTAATTTACCCCTTTTATTATTATGAATCAAAGAATATGGTATATACATCGATGTGCCCCACATCTGGGGTATAGGGCTGCAAGCAACATCCAGTTCTCCGAATTTGAATTCAAATTTGATCATGTTAAGGGTGATCTGAATTTGATATGTTTATATGGGACAAGGAAGTGTGGGATGTGATAGGGTGCACAGAGGGTTTGGATTTGGGGAGAGGAATGAATCAGGAGATACAATTTTAGATTTTGCAACTGCTTATAATATTGCAATAGTATATGCATAATGCATACTTTAAAAAGAAGGATGAATATAGGTGCTAAGAATTATTCTAGGGGAAAGCCTAACTATACAAAATAAATTAATGGTGGTGGATGTGCGCATCAAAATATGAACGAGAAATAAGTGCTAAGAATTAGGTGGATAAATGTAAATGGAGAAAGACTACCACTACTTAAAGAAAATAGGGGTATCGGTAAGGTCTGATGTTGGGGGGTAAGGTACCCGGCAGTAAGGGTATCCGATGGTCTTGGGCCCATTGAGGAGGTAACTGGGTGGGCTCATCGATGACATCTTCGTGTTGTCCAATAATAGCTTCAGGGCCTGCTGCTGATCAAGGGTTATTGGGCTGGTTTCAGAAGTTACAAGGGTAGGGCTAGTGGGTTCAAGGTCCGGGTGCATAAAAATTGGTTGGCCGGAGGCATGGGCTCATCGATGACATCTTCGTGTTGTCCAATAATAGCTTCAGGGCCTGCTGCTGATCAAGGGTTATTGGGCTGGTTTCAGAAGTTACAAGGGTAGGGTTAGTGGGTTCAAGGTCCGGGTGCATAAAAATTGGTTGGCCGGAGGCATGTGAGATGCATATGATGGTTTGGAGTCTTTCTGGCTGTGGGGATCTAGGTGGGTGGCCCTGTAAATGGCAAGATGAGCTGTCTTTTGTAAAGTCCATAGTCATCTGGGCTCAATTGTGCATGACAGGGCCCAATTGGCGTAACCAATTGTACTCCTAATACAATATCAGCCCCACTAAACTCGAGGGGGTGGAGGTCCACCGTCCACCCAGAAGTTATGACCTTTTATCCTTAGGCCCTCATTCTTACATACCCCGTCACAGGTAATCTGCTGACCATTATCTACATAAACTGAAAAGGAAGGAGTGTGATGGATCACCATAACTAGCTGGCGGGCAAACAGCTTAGTGATGAAGTTCAAAGTGCTGTCACTGTCGATTAAAATGGATATTTTTTTTTGATCAATAACTGAATTTCATTAGAACTATAAAAAATATAAAAATAATTACAGGATTGGGAGAGGTAAACTGTCTTACCTCAAAACAACAAATATGCAAATACAATTGAGCCCAAAACAATTGATTCCTTCCTGCCCCTTGTTTTGCTAAAACATCAGAAAAAGCATTTGCAGTCCTTTTAACCCAGCTGAATTGCACATCCATATCTTTAGTCAGCCATTTGAATTTCTTTTTCTCATTGTTGAAGATCCAGAGACCCTTTTCTTCCTTTTGCAACCACTCCACTACCAACTTTGAGTCACCTTCGATAATCAACTTCCTAACATCCAATTCCTTTGCCTTTTGCACTCCTCTCATGACAACCATAACCTTAGCCCTTAGAGGAGTCACCTACTCTAATTGGGCCTGAATATAATCCAATAACTCTGCCCTCACCATCTCTAAAGACCCTTCCAATATCAGAAGGACTTGGGTTTCCAGCACTACTCCCATCAAAGTTTAGTTTGATGTAATTAAACATTGGAGGGGACCAAACTGGACTTATATTGGTGGATCTATGACAATCAGAGCTGGCCACTTCCTTCCATTTGTTCAAGATATCACCTGTTGAGAAGTTGACAAACATATCCATAGATTTTACCCAATGAACCACTCTCACCATAATGGTTTCTATTGGTAGCTTCTTTACTTCTTTCCTTATCTGAAAATGGTCTTTGATTTCTTTCTTCCCATATGGTCCAACTTACAGCCACCCTAACACATCCTCATAAGACTCACCCCCTTTTCTTTGGCCACCTCAAGACAGAGGAATCAAACAAGCTTTGCATATTGGTTGGGGGAGACCACCTGCACCCAAACAATGAGAAAAACCATTCCCAAATAAAAGTAACAAAAGGGCAGAAGATTAATCTCCATTATCCTTGCACATGACACACCAGTGTGGAGATAAGCACTAGTTTGTTCTTTTCCTTTGGAGTAGATCATAGGTATTAATTCTTTTCAGGAAGGTTTCCTAACAAAGACCCCCAACTCTTGGAGGATAGGATTACCCCAAACCTCATCCATTGGAAATGGACTTCCCAAAGAATCAATAGGTTGAATAAGGGCCTTGAGAAAAGAAGCACATGAAAAGGAACCAGAGGAGGATAGGACCCAAATACGATTGTCAGGTTTTGAGGATTCCAAGTATACCTCATCAAGGATATGAAGTGAACCCAGGACCTCAATAAGTTCTAAATACCTCATACCCCTCCTTAAACCCAAATCCTAATCAAAGCCAATTCTTGAGCTTGAAGGAACCAGGAAAGATAACACGGGTTTATCTTTGTATTGCCATAGGGCAAAGACAGAGGGGTATTTATCTTTCAAAGAGAGATTGCCCACCCAAACTTGTTCCCAAAATTTTATAAGGTTGCTAGAACAAAGGTCATACATAATAAAGGATAGGAAGGATGGGAGGACAACATTAATGGCTTTCCAAGGAGAGGCTCTGGTAGGCCCAGTCAGCATTCCAGCATCCCAACCGCCAGTTGCAAGCCCATGAATACCAATCACTATCTTTGCCCAATGCTCGTCTTTCTCCATAGGTAGGGGTCGTTTGATAACACTTTTCAGACGTCTAATGTCTGAAAAACTTGCTTTTTAGACGCCAAACACGCTTGAATTTGCATTTGAATAGATGATCTGAAACACTTTTTCAGATCTGAAATGGTAAGACCCAAAGTCAAAAATACCCTCAATTAATTTCAAAAAGACTGTCAGATTTCAGACTAAAATATTAGCTTTTTCACTTTTCAGACTTCAGATTTTAGATTTATCAAATGCCACCATAGTTTCCAGAGCCACTTACCCGCAAAGCCTCATTCCTTTTCAGTAAGTTGCCTAGGTCTAACCCACCAATTGTCTTGCTCTTCACCATTTCCCAGCTAACTCTATGGTCATTTTTCTCCTCCCTTGTCTCCCATAAAAAATCCCACATCAACTTTTCCAATTTTCTATTCACACACCGGCATCTTAAAAACAAACATAAAGTACACAGGCAAATTGGCCAAAGTAGTTCTTATCAAAGTGATCCTCCCTCCTAAGGATAGATAGCTTTTCTTCCAAGATGCGAGTCTCTTGACAAATCTTTTAAGTACAGGATCCCAAAAAGAAGCCCTCAATACTTCAGTGCCATCCTGGCCTCAAAACCCAAAATGCTTGCATACTCCAGCATCTCCCCTTCTTCCATATTAACATCCACAATACAACTCTTGTCAAAATTCGCCTTGAGGTTAGACATTAGCTCAAAGAGTTGTACTGTCAACTTGAGATTCCTAACCT